CGCTTCCTATCTGGGTAACACTTGGGGGGATCCCGCTGGAGTATCATTCGATTGATGGTCTGGAGTGGATTGCAAGTACTCTAGGGCCGCCTCTCTGGATGGACAAAGCCACCAGGATGGGGAGTCAGCTGGGGTTCGCAAAAGTTTGTGTGGATCTCTCAGCAGACTGTGGATTTCCACCTAAGGTACGGCTCTACCCTGATGATGATCCGGGTTTTGAGGTCTCTATTGAATACTTGAACTTGCCCAGGGTGTGCTCCAGTTGTCAAGTTTATGGGCATGACTGTTCTATTTTGGCAAACAGTAATAAGAAATGGGTTATTAAGGGTGAGCATAGGGCTCCTTCTGAATTGGTTAGCGAGAAGGTAGCTGCCCTGGTGGTTTCTAAAGTTTCTTTGGTACCTCAGGCTGAAGTGTTTGATGATGCTAATGCTGTTAACTCGGTCTATAAGGGGAATGAGGTGGATATGAGTGACCAGGAAGCACAGGTTCCCCTGTCTGTTGGGAATGTTGATGCTAGCTTTGTTGATATAGTTCTTGGGTCATCGGTTCAGGTTGGAAGTCCTAGCCAGCTGCTGCAGCAGCCTTTGGGGTCTATCTCGCCAGAGTTGGGGAGGGTAGCCTCTCAATCATCCACTGAAGCTCAAGTGAAGGAGCCTAATCCTTGGATTGTGGTGGGAAGTGCTAAACAGAAGCCTTATACTCCTCGTATTGCTCCAATTCTCCCTCGTAAAGTTGGGAGAGCTGGTAAGAAAAGATGAAAATTCTCACTTGGAATGTCCGGGGGTTTAATGACTCGGGCAAGAATAGTTGTTAGCCAGATAGTAAATAGATATGATATAGATATCCTAGTTATACTAGAGCCTAGAGTTAGACATAATAAGGCTGAGGAAATGATAAATAAAAGGTTTCCTGGTTGGGAGTTTAAGGTGGCTAATAATGGTAGTGGTTTGGGGAAGTTATGGTTATTGTGGAAGCTTGATGTTCTGCTTACAGTTTTTCATAAGACAAATCAATTCATTCATCTTATGGTTGCCACTGGTGTACCTTTTTTCCTCTCAGTGGTTTATGATTCTAATGAGGAACAGGGTAGAAGGGTCCTCTATAGTGATTTGAAAGGTTTCAAGGTTGGTTCAGCCCCCTAGGTAGTGTTGGGAATTTTTATTGCTATTGGGGATATCAGTGAGGCTTCAAATTCACCCCACATCTCTAGTAGTATGGCTGATTTTAGACAGTGGCAATATGACTGTGAGCTTGAGGAGCACAAGGCATCTGGTCCGTGGTTTACATGGATTAACAAGCAAATTGGCAATCCAATTGCTAGGAGACTGGATAGGGTATTTGTTAATGTCAAGTGGCTTGGGGATCTGGTGTCGAGTACTGTTGAGTTACTTGATCCTTCAGTATCAGATCATTGTCCAATCTATCTGAATACTGATAGTTCAGTTAAGTCTCTGCCTAAACTCTTTAAATTCTTCAAGTTCTGGATCAAGCACCCTAGATTCCTTGATCTGGTGAAGGAGGCCTGGTCGATGCAAGTGAATGGGTCACCTTTGGTTTGTGTTTGTAAGAAGCTAAAAATTCTCAAGGGACTTCTGAAGAGGTTGAATAAAGATATCTACTCTGATTTGAGTGAAAGGGTCCGTTTGAAGGAGAGTGAACTGATGGGGGCTCAGGCTGAGGCTCTCAAAACACCTACTTCTGATACTTTTGTAGAGGAACTTAAACTGGCTAAAGAGGTCAAGGAGTTAAAGGAAGCTGAGGAATCCTTTTTCAGACAAAAGTCTAGGGAAATCTGGCTCAAAGAGGGTAATTCTAATACCCCCTATTTTCATAACTCTGTTAAGAGTAGGCAAAAGAGGAATATGATCATATCGTTGCTTGATGACTCTGAGACTAGGATTACAAATACTGATGGGATGTCCAAGATTGTTGAAGTCTTCTATAGGAAGTTATTGGGGGAACAGGACAAAGAAGTGGTTCCTCCTAAAGTTTCTCAGTTAAAGTCCATATTGATGAAAACTCTGCTCCCTGAGCAGGGGGTAGAGCTCTGTTGCCCTGTAACTGCAGAGGAAATTAGATCAACTATGTTTGGTTTCCATGGTGAGAAAGCCCCTGGGCCTGATGGCTTTTCTGCCTGTTTCTTCCAAGCTGCGTGGACTGTTATTAGTGAGGAGGTAACTAATGCAATTCTTTATTGTTTCCATGTGTCCAGTATTCCTGTGAGTATTAATTCAACCCTGCTTGCCCTTATTCCTAAGGTCCAGAACCCTGAGGAAATGAAATTTTTTAGGCCTATTTCCTGTTGCAATATTCTCTATAAGTGTATGGCCAAAATCTTAGCTACCATACTTAGTACTGTTATGCCTAGTATCATAAGTGAATCCCAGACTGCTTTTATCAAGGGTAGGGTTATTGGGGAAAATATCCTTCTTGCATATGAATTGGTTCAGAAGTATGATAGGAAGAACTTTCATATAGATCTTTAGTAAAGGTGGATCTTATGAAGGCCTTTGATTTTGTTGACTAGGGGTTTCTCTTTAATGCTTTGCAAGCCATGGGGATCCCTGAACAGTTCTTGAAATGGCTAGGAATGTGTGTTACAACACCTAGGCTAAGTATTGGGTTTAATGGTGGATCAATTGGGTATTTCCCTACCAAGAAAGGGTTGAGGCAGGGTGATCCTCTTTCACCTTATTTGTTTGCAGTAGCTATGGAAATCTTCTCCTGTCTTATGAATGAGGCAGTTAAACAAGGCTTAATGCCTTTCCACCCTATGTGTAAGAGGCTGAAGCTAACTCACCTAATGTTTGCTGATGATCTTCTGTTATTCTCTAATGGGTCTAACTTGGGGATTCAGTGTATTAAAAGAGTCTTGTCTGCATTTAGAAGAATGTATGGCCTCCAATCAAATCCTGCTAAGTATGAGTTATACTGTGGAGGGATAAGTGATCAATGAAAGAGGCTATGGCCTGCTACTCTGGGTATAAGTTGGGGGGTACTTCCTGTTAGATACCTAGGTCTTCCCTTGTTGGCTGGGAAGCTTACTATAGCTGCCTGTGCTCCACTGATGGATAAAGTAACTAGAAGAATTACCAGTTGGAAATCCAAAACCTTGACATATGCGGGGAAATTCCAATTGGTTATGTCTGTGTTTTATAGTCTAACTCAATTCTGGATGTCTATTTTCATTCTGCCTAAAGCTGTCATTAAGGCTATTGAGAAGTTGTGTAGTGATTTCCTGTAGGGAGTGGGAGTTGGTTCACGAAAGAAAGTTGTAGTGGCTTGGGCTATGATCACTTTTCCTAAGACTGAAGGTGGGCTAGGGCTGAGGGATATGGTTTCCTGGAACTCTGTCTGTGTTACTAGGCATATTTGGGCTATTCTGTTGAAGGAAGGCTCGTTGTGGGTGGCTTGGATATGGGAATACAGAATCAAGAATGCTAATTTTTGGACTCTAACTAACAAGGCAGGGTCTTGGCTTTAGCTTAAACTGTTAAAGTGCAGGGATAAATTGAGAAGTTTGATGTCTGTGCAGGGGTATGGAGTTCACTAGAAGGGAGACTTAATGGCTAAATTCAAAATAAAGAAAGTCTCGGAGGATATTAGACCTAGAAAACCATATGTTCAGTGGAGTTCTCTGGTATGGAAAGGGCCTTGTATTCCAAGGAATCAATTCCTGGTTTGGCTTGTAGTAAATGATCATATTGTTACAGTTGATAAGACTCAGGGATGGGGGCTTGCTGGAAAACATGGGTGTGTGTTTTGCTCGCAGAATCTGGAAACAAGATCTCACCTATTTGCAGAATGTGAACTGTATAGGTCAATGTTTGCTGCTATGTTCTTTAGGTATACAAATCGTGTGCCTGGAAATCAGTGGCAGGATGAGCTTCAGTGGGCAGTTCTGCAGTTCAAACAAAAAAGTGTGGTTGCTCAGGCTGGGAGAGTCATTTGGCAGAGTCTGATCGCTGCCATTTGGAGAGAGCGGTGCAAAGTGAAGTTTGGAGATGGAGTTCTGGATACCAACATGCTGATTAGTAATGTAAAGCGTGACTTGAGGTTGTTTTTAGATCCTTTGTGTTTGGATCAGTTTTGTTAGATATCCCTGTTTGGTTTTTGTTGGGATATGAATTAATATGCCTACAAGACTATAAACGGGTCCAAGCCCAACGCAAGGAGTCACGGGCCCAAGCCCACTTATGGAGTCTCAAGCCCTATATAAGGAGGCCAAAGCCTCCAAGTCATGGATCCTCTCTTCCCTTCCGACACTCTAACCCTAAGGTCTCTCTCTAAACTCTCTCTCTCTCTACATACCATAAACTGCATACTATATCTTACTAACTTGGGCGTCGGAGCGTAGATCCCGGGGGCCGCCCCCGCCTCACAGGTTCTTCCCCTCTCGAGGAGATCAGACGGAGGAGTCCAGATCGGAGCCTCACAACCGCCTAGTACATTCTAGGCTCAAACAGTTTTGATAGGTGCAGTTTTTCCCTGTCTATAGTTTTTCTTACTCAGTTGGCATAGTGTGTTGTCAACAAGTAACATTGTTCCTTTTGATGAAATAGAAATCCAAACCGATTCATAAAAAAAAAACATAATATTTAACGTTAGAACCCAAACATTTATAATTTAATTCAACAAATAACATCAATATTTAAATTTTTGTACTTAAATCCAATAAATTATTTTGTTAATTAATTCCACCAAATCATTTCCATCAAACTTCTGCTTTTCTCGATGTTGACTATCACTTTATACCGGTGATCTTCTTACCGATTTGGTTGCGATACTGGTTAAACCATATTGCACTAACCGGTATGTTGACTATCACTTTATACCGGTGATCTTCCTACCGATTTGGTTGCGATACTGGTTAAACCATATTGCACTAACCGGTATGCTAGTGGCTTGACAACCATGGTTGGGGCCTCTTATCAAAAATTTACGGTGGCCGTATATAAATGTGGAGCCCATTGCAGGCCATATGCATTGCTGGCTTTCAGCCATCGATTTGTACTGTTGGGCGTTCTCTCTTCCTTTTCAGAAAAAAGCCCTTTTTATTTAGCGAGTCTGCTAGGAAAGACGAGAGAGAGACGCCCTCTGCACCCCCGCCCCCTCCATAAAACCATAAGAAAAAAAAAAAAGGAAAATTTGTTTCTGTGTACTTCCTTGAATCTCTCTTTCGTTAGTGATCGAAGAGCTGCAGCCTGCAAGGGAATCCAGCCCCCTTTCTCGTGCTCTCTATTAAAAGTTTTCTTCTTCTGATTCTCCGTCTTATTGTTTATTTCTCTGCGTTTACTGAGCTTCGATTGGAGCGTTTAAGCAGCCTTTGTATCTGCAGCCGCCGTAGCAGCAGAAGTTGGTTCTAAATTCGTGAAAAGTTGGAAGATTCGCCATCTGTGTTCTATTGGGTTTAGCTTGTTGGATCTGTAGATCTAACCCTTTTGCTTTCGCCCACTCTATTTAGCTGTTTCTTGTTCTTAGATCTCCCGTTAATTTTTTCCTGTTTGGAAATTTGCGGCTGCCGCCTGAGCCCTGAGCCAGGGGAACTCCGCATATATCGCGTAAACAGGAAGAAGAAAACCCCCAGTGAGTATCCGGCTCCTTATTTAGTTTTGGTTAATTTCGTGGCGTTTTGAATAACTTGGAATTTGATGTTTTTTTTTGGGACTTCGCTTAGTGAAGAGCTGAACTCTTTAAAAGTGGTGGGGTTTAAATTTGACCGTCTTATATTTTTATCAACTCCAAACCTCTGGATCGAGGAGGTTTGTTGAGTCAAGTAGATTGTTGACTAGGGAAAAGTTAGTTCTCTTGTTACTACCGAAATACCAGATAATCTGATATGTGAATTGTCTGGTGTTTTGCAGAAATTAGATTGGAAGCTGGGATTTATCGATCTGGTGAGTTCTGTTATTGGGAAACTGAAGAACCAAGGGGAAACATTTTGCATCCAAGATTTTGGATGTGGAGGAAATTGAGGCTGCCTCGGCTGAGATGAGGCATGTTATCAAGGTTGATGAACTTATTGAGGGCCTGCTGGGGCCCATCCTTGGATGGTTGTGGCAACACAGGTTCGGATTCAGCCGGCCGGCAAGAGGGACTGCTTTGGTACAAAGACTTGGGCCACCACTTAACTGGTGAATTCTCCATGGCCGTAGTGCAAGCTAATAACTTGCTGGAGGACCAGAGCCAGCTTGAGTCGGGCCCTTTGAGCACCCTCGAGTCTGGTCCTCACGGAACTTTCATTGGTGTTTATGATGGCCACGGAGGGCCTGAAACTTCACGGTTCGTGAATGATCATCTCTTCCAGCACTTGAAGAGTAAGCAAGAGTTACTCTATTAGATCAACCTCTGAGATTGAAGCTTGTGATCGGTTATTGGGTAAATTTGACTGAGCTAGTGACTTTTTTTTTTATGTTTGTGATTTTTCTTGGTTTATGTTCTTTTAGCAGATTTCACTTCAGAGCAACAGTGCATGTCTGTGGACGTGATAAAGAAAGCATACCTAGCAACTGAGGAAGGGTTCCATTCTGTGGTGACCAAACAGTGGCCCATGAAGCCTCAGATTGCAGCTGTTGGGTCTTGTTGTTTAGTGGGTGTGATCTGTGGGAGTACCCTTTACATTGCTAATGCTGGAGATTCCAGAGCTGTGCTTGGCAAGTCTGTCAGGGCAACTGGGGAGGTTCTGGCTGTCCAGCTGTCATCAGAGCATAACGTCAGCATAGAATCTGTTAGACAGGAGATGCACTCTTTACACCCTGATGATAAGCAGATTGTTGTCTTGAAGCATAATGTATGGCGAGTGAAAGGCCTCATTCAGGTAACTTGTCTTTACTCCCTCATTGTTCCTATTATTTATGGGTATTCGTGGTGTACAGCTTGTGACTTCATCCATGGCAATTGATATTTTGTCTTTTTGGCTTGCATTTAGCTATGTATGGTCTTCACCTACTCTTTTGCAGACTGGTCACCTTATTTGCATTAATACTATTCCCTAGACGATAATATATGCTTCTTTCTGCAAAACCACCAGATTGCTCCTGCATACCTTTTTAGCTACTACCTACTAGATATGTTTGATATGGCTGGAGGGAAAAGGATGTTGCTTTTCGATTGTCTGCATAATAAAGATTCATATCCGATTAGCCAATTATTTATGTCTAGTAGCTATGGTAACTATGCTTGAGGTGATATTGTGAAAAGTGTAGTTGTAAGCCATAAAAGCCTCACTGCATGACTGAATTTTCTTTTGTTGGAGTAGGCCCTAGCATAAACCTGTTGCTTTCCAGAGTGGACTTGAGCAACTGAAATAACTCTTGTTTGTTGGAGTTGCTCAGTGACTTCTAGTTTGACTGTCAAGTATACACGAGGCAAATTGCTATCGTAAACAAAACACAAGACAGCCTTGTAGCTATGCTTGAGGTGATATTGTGAAAAGTGTAGTTGTAAGCCATAGAAGCCTCACCGCATGACTGAATTTTCTTTTGTCGGAGTAGGCCCTAGCATAAACCTGTTGCTTCCCAGAGTGGACTTGAGCAACTGAAATAACTCTTGTTTGTTGGAGTTGCTCAGTGACTTCTAGTTTGACTGTCAAGCATACTCGAGGCAAATTGCTATCGTAAACAAAACACAAGACAGCCTTATAACATCATTACGCTATTACTTGGTTTAGCTGTAAAAGAAAATAGGAATCGACACTGATGCTGTTGCAGGATATTTTGTTATAGGCCATAGTGGCGGACTAATAATAAAAGCAACCTTTTTTTGAGATGTATATTTTGATTGGCAACCTTTTTTGTTTTTGACATGATTTTATGGAGGTTAAATCCTTCCATTGTTGTATGTTTTCTAAATTCCTTTCCCTTATGCTGTAGAAAGTTCAGATAAAATTCTCAAGAGGCATCTAACTCTTGGCATACATACAGGTTTCTAGATCCATTGGAGATGTATATCTGAAGAAGGCTGAATTTAACAGAGAGCCCTTATATTCCAAATTCCGGCTTCGGGAACCTATCAGGAGACCAATATTAAGTGCTGAGCCGGCGATCTCTGTGCATGAACTCGAGCCTCATGACCAATTCCTCATCTTTGCATCCGATGGGCTGTGGGAGCATCTTAGCAATCAAGATGCAGTTGATGTAGTACAAAACCACCCACGCCATGTATGCAATCTATCTTCAGAACTTAGCTGTTATTTCATCTTTTGCATGCGTGGTTCCAATATTGATGGCTGACCAATGAATCCGTCTATTGCTCTATTAATGATTAGCAGGGAATCGCCAGGAGACTGGTGAAGGTGGCACTGCAGGAGGCCGCCAAGAAGAGAGAAATGAGGTACTCGGATCTGAAGAAGATTGACCGTGGGGTCCGTCGCCATTTCCACGATGACATTACCGTCGTGGTTGTGTTCCTCGACTCGAATCTCGTGAGTAGAGCTAGCACAGCTAAAGGGCCTACAGTATCAGTCCGAGGGGGAGGGATTCACCTGCCTGCGAAAACACTAGCCCCATGCACACCTCCCTCAGAAATAATGAATCCCAACTAGTGAATGAAGCTCTCATTTCTCTACCCTCCCATCATCATAGCTCTCATCTCTCTACCCTCCCATCATCATCACCTGTTCCAGGAGTACGATGTTCCCCTCTAATAACAAGAGCTCAGACGGAGAGAAGGTGCTGCTGGCTCCTATTTATATTTTTTCCTCTATATATTTTGTTAGTGTAAAATGTAACATTTTAACCCCGCCAGGATATAATGTATGGGTTCTCTTTAAGCTTCGTTGTGCTGAAAGGAAGAGGGGAAAAACAAAGGAGCTACCAAGGTGACCCACGGACAGACACTAGGAGTACAACATATTCTTCATCTAGGCAAATTTCATTCAGCCTTTACAGTTCTTTTGCCTCTTTTTGTTCTTGTAAATTATGCGAGACAGGCACCTCTTTCCTCAATTCATGAATTTATGCATCCACTTTGTTTTAGTACTGTGTTTTTCCCGTCTTGAAATACCAATGTTCTCCCTTGTGGCCTTGTTCCCTAACTGACTTTAGCATAACTGTTGACAAGTCTCAAGTTGATTTGGTTGGAATAAGGGAAAGTTTAGGTGCGTGATTCTTTCACCATGATGAGTGGCATGTCCGTTTTTATACTTGGACAATTTTGAAAGGATGGTTGGATAGATGTGCTTAGAGCTCATAACTCATATGAAACCATCGTCACGAGCTCATAACTCATAAGAAACCATCGTCACGATATACCGCATTGAACTATTAGTTGTGTTGTGGTCTGTAATGTGTTGCATCGTATAACATTGACAAAGTGCCCATCTAACAGTCCTATCTCGGGAAGGATGTAATGTTTGTTAACACTAAAATGTTTTCCAAATATATATGCTTTAGCATGTGAACCCTATGTTGAGTCAAAAGCTTGACTTAGCAAGATCAATATCGTAGGTTGATTTGAATTGAATATATGTTATTATGTTGAACTAACAATTCTTGCAGACAAATCGCAATCAAGATTAAGGTGTAGTTAAGGTAAGAAGAGAATCCCAAGTGATTGATTGCCTACAACTGAGTTGCCATATCAAACAAGAGAATATCAAATCAAGGAGATACTTTCCACAAGAATACAAATGAAAGGAAATGAAGGTTCACATCCACTATATATAGTAGAGTCATTTGTAGGCTAGAGTACATTTTGCAAAGTTCTCTTCTCCCTTGAAATAGCGAAATAATGTGATCATATTTCTTGGGGTGAATAGCTTGATATCTTGGAGGTTGAGATAGTCAAACTAGGTAAGGTTTTAGGGTAGGAAGGGTATTTGTAATTGGGGCTAGTGCAAGAGCAAGAGTGGATTCTTGCTTGGAAGTTGCACTAGGTTGATTACTCTTCGATCAAGCTAAACGGAAAGTGTTAGCTTGATTGAGTGAGTGAGTAGTTTAGCTTGGGTTTAGCTAAGGGTTGAATAGGTGTGGAGTTGCAGCTATTTGGTTCTTGACATGTGGTGTCAAGGGTGTCTTCTTTTCATAGGATAGAGTCTTTTATTTTAATAAAAGTTAGAGTCTCTCGGAAGATAGTGGTGACTATCTCCGAGACGTGGATGTAAAGCCATATTGACCGAACCACGTTAAAATCATGTGTCCCGACTTATCTCTCTACTCTTCCTCTAATATTGTTCCATCCATTATTACAAAGAAGTGAAAACTTCTATCATAGTTGGAACAAGTTCGCCATAGCAAATTAATCGTTTGAAGAGAGATTCTTGGCAAACCAATATGGGTTGCTCAATCAAGCTAGTGCTAATATCTTACTATTGAAATCTGATTGAATTTGCGCATTGAGCCATTGACAACGCCAAAAGTATTCAATATTGAATCCGCTTGGTCTAACAAGTGGTATCAGAGCCTGGTTCCTTTGAAAAGATTAAAGGATCGTGAAGGAAACTGAGATCCAAATATACCAAGCATGGCTAGTGGGTCACTTACAAACCATGGTCCTAACTCCATCAATATGGAGGGTTATTCACACAATAAACCACCTTGGTTTGATGGATACAACTATCCTTTTGGAAAACACGTATGATTGTTTCTTCAAAGGAATGGGTTTTGACGTTTGGAATGTGGTTGAGAAAGGTGTGGGTGATATTAAAGATGATCCCGACACATGGTCAAAAGATGACCTAAAAAAGATGCAATTAGATGCTAAAGCAACGAATGTCTTATATTGTGCAATATGTACATATGAGTTCGATAAGGCGAATCGGTGTAAAACGTCACATCTATTATGGAAAACCTTGGAAAGTATCATGACTCGCTACGACACAACATAAAACTACGACCAAGTATAATCCTAGAATGGAAATGTAGAATAGTGGGTAAGTTTTACTTATCAACCCGAGGACTAGATGTACTGCCTACTCCATGATTATCAATTATCTAGCGGGGAAAGTTGAGTGAAGTGTTCAAAGCAAATTAAACAGAAAGCGGTATATGTTTTGGTTTTCCAAGTCAAGAAGGAACCACTCAGGTAATGATTCACTCCTAATTTCTCTCTCACAATTCCCTCCGAATCCATTTTCCTTACCACCGGAGACTCAACTGCAGCAGTAGGATTCGACCCGCCACCATCCCCAATCCCATGGGAATTCACAAAGCGTTTCCGATGATGATTACCCTTTAGTGGAAGCGGAGAAGGCGCGAGCAGATCTGGTGTTACCAATTGAAGTGCTGGAAGAGGGAGACGATGATAATGGATGTTGCCTTGGAGGGAGACTGCGAAGAGGAATAAGTGCCTTGGAGAGAGAGGGTTTTGGGGTCGGCGGATATGACTTCGATGAACTCAAGCTGCCCAAAAATATATGTTTTCCCTGTCCCGGTGTTGGATTATGATAGGTCGTGGTATCTTCAGATCGTCGCTGCTCAACGTGGACCCTGCTACTACGTTTTTGTGCTCTTCATCACCAGACACGATTATAGATTCAGCACCGGCGGACTCGCTGCTGTCGCCTCTCATTGCAACCATCATCCACAGGTATCAGGATTGCCTCCGATGACCTACGGTAATGCCGACAGGCCATTAATGCCAACGGCGCTGAATTTGCGCCACCTCACCCGTATAAGGTAAATACGTGTAACGTAAGTTTCCAAAACAGAAACTTTTTGATTTAATTTCTTTTTGAATTATTTTAATTATTACCTTTTTGATTCTCATTGCTAGTTATAATAGCTTTTATTATTCTCTTAATTTCATTTTTGTCCAGCTAACGTCCATTCCCTGTAACTTACGGTAACTTTTGAATAGTTGAGTCTTTCCTTTTTATCAGCTAGTAATTAACCGCACTCTTTATTGCCCCCTTTGTGGGCGGGTCAATTCAAATTAGAGAGGTTATCCCTTAATTATATGCCTTATTTTTTATAATAATTTTTTTAGGAACCCATTTAGCTGGCTCTCGGTCCTTTTTTCGTCCAAGCGCTAATCGAGCTATAATTTTAAACCATCATTATTTAGCAACTTTAAAGCGGATTAATTTATTTCCCTTGTAATTTATGTTCTTTTCATTGATAGTGAGTGTATTGCACTTACAAGAGATGAATATTATCATTGTTGGTGTATTTCGATAAGGTCGACTTTGCCTTCAGGGCAAGATTTAATCTCTTATGATAGAGATTTTTAGCACCATAGTTGTGCTTTTTTTTTGGTAATTTTGCAGGTGGTTATTTGGTATGAGAATAATTGAAGTGAAATAAGTTTCATCTATCTATCAGGTGATTGTTCGATTTTATTCGCTTTTATAAAATTTATGAGAGTAATTAAGCATGCTCTATCCAATATTGCTAATGTCATTTTCTTTTATTTGTTGTGGCTTTTTGGGGCGACTCGATACTGGTCATCCGGCATACTCCGTCGAAGGAAACTACACTCGCTGGCGGGACTATCTTGGTGATGTTTTTTTATTTTTGTTTTTCTTCCGTCAGTGTCGTGTCTTTGCTCCTCGGAGCTTCTTCAGAGCTGCCCATGTAGTGGCTTATCAGGCTCTTTCATCGTAGTCCGGTTGCATACGGACTATCGTGCAATTTTTGAGCTAGTGTGTAATTGTGTCGAGTCTTTGTCCCATGCCCTTTGGGCTTGCCTTGGATAAAAAAAAAAAAAAAAAAAAAATGATTCCCCCTAGCCTGCAGTGAAGTCTAGTTATAATTCACCCAGTCTAATTCAATTCAGATTTGTACTGTGGAAAATCCGAACCTAGCTTGGAATCTCTTAAGATGACCAAGCCCTCTCAGACACGTTACCTGGCATGCGACTAACCTTCACTAAGATAAAGTTCTAAGGCAATAAAAACATATATCCTCTACTGGAATGAATCCCATTACAGAGCAATGAATTGATTGACTCTCGCACAATCGATTCACCACTTCCAAATCAAGATGCTCTATTGACCTATTCAGATTCTATCGTTCTAGGTCAAAGCTGGAAACATACAAGTGTGATCAAGAGTCATAGATTTCTGAATAAAACTTCAATTGGATATATAGTCATCAATGCATTGAAAATGGGCTCATTCAACTATTACTAACATGAAAAACTAGGATTCTTCATACCCAAGTGGTAGAGGGGATTACTGCATAAAGAGAGAGGGAGATGAAAGCCATGATGGATGCAGAAATCATCGTGTAGACAGAAGAAATCTGCTCTGGGTTGTCAATCGTCACTCCTTGAGGCTTGAATCTAGGGGTGGGCAAACGGTTCAGTAAACCCGACCCGAACCGAACCTGAATTAAACCGAACCGAAACCGAATTAATGCTATTCAGTTCGGAATTCGGAAGGAAAATATGGATAGTTCGGAAATCAGGGTTCTTTCAACCGAACCGAATTTCCGAATTTCCGACCGAAAAACCGAAATACTATAATTGCAAGCTCCAAATGATGGATTTTTATGTTTGTAGTTGTTTTTAGACTTAAATATTTGAAATGTTTTAAGACTTATGTGTTGAAAAGTTTGGTTTTATCATTGATGATGCATATAATTGATATTTATTGTTTATATTAGGGGTAAAAAATAATTTAAAAGTGAGAAAATACAAGTAGCTTCACAAATTCGATTTTGTGTGAAAAACCGAACTGAATTATAATTCGGTTTAAACCGACCGAACCGAATTATAATTCGGTTCGAATTCGGTTTGAGTTTTGGGAGAATTCGGGGACCCGGTATTCATAATTTCGGTTTGGTCGAAACCGAACCGACCGAATGCCCACCCCTACTTGAATCGAGCTCCAATGATGGGAAAACTTGATCTAGGGCACTCAAGGGTCTTTGTTCGCCACTTTCTCTCTCTAAACCTCTGTTTTCTGCTCCAAAACTCCAAATGAGAGACCAAAACCCGTGTTCTGCTTGTAATAGCCCGAGCTAGGCAAAACCCGATCCAAATACCTGGTCAGGTTATTTAGGATTAGGTTGGGTATTACTGAATGGTGCATAGCAACTTCTCACACAAGGGGGGGGGGGGGGGAATACCCGACCTCGGGTAAAAATACTCGGTCGGGTATTTATGGTTCACGACCGGGGGCAT